CTGACTGGAAATCATTTGATATGAAGAATCAACTGAACTCCGTGTTCAGATTCCATGTTCAAAAACGATAGAAAAACTCGAATGCTGTTTGTGTATGGGCGTGCGTTCTCTTATTTTTGATAGTGAACTTTGATTTCGTTCTATGTTTTATTTGGCTTCGATGAGAGGATTGCATTGAGTTGGTAAATTTTCGGAATGAAATATTTTATGCATCGTATGCATAATTTCGTTGTGTAAGGCATCCATCATTTTCTTTTTCATTCTAATGGTCAATTCACACTGAGAACTTCACAGTAAGAAAGATTTTTTTTTGATAAACACATTTCCTACCAAGTATTTTCTGTTCAAATATGATCCGGTGGTATATGTCATACGCTCGATCTGTCTCGCGATAATATTTGTGTGGTGTGTTTTGCAGCTACTAAGAATTTTTTGTCAATTTCAGATCACCATAGGTTCGGATTAGGTCGTATAGAACTTACACCTCTTTAGCATCTCAGAACCCACTGGAAATTTTTGACAAAACCTTTCGATTTGCTTGGGAGAAGCAAAAAACTCGAGAAAATTTTCTTGAAATCGCAAGGGATTTTGAAGCCAAATTCCAAACTCACCTCCTTCTTAATCAATTTAGATCCGAGTGGAATGAAAACCTCTAGCGGAGACCCCCTAGATTTGCATGCATGAGAACCTATGCAGTTCTTAGTAGACAAAATTTTCTTATTACAGTTATACTAAAATTAATAAAATGGTATGAAATGTGTTAAGCATTAAAAAAAAATTGTATTTCTAACTGTGAACTGGCCCTAACCGAGCATAGAGTAACAAACTCTGATAGCATCAATTTGGAGTTTAATATATAGCATAAGAAAACGGCCAACACTCTGAATGAATGATCCGATCGGTGTGCAATAGACGTGCGTGTTTCACTTTTTTTTTGCTTCTTCTTCGATGTCTTCATTCGACGATTTGATTTTAGAACATGGTTTATTTGCCCGGATGTGTACACTCTGTATAGCACCTTATGCACGTATAAATAACATTTACGTTTGCAATCACTTTTATCGATGTTTGTGCATGTGTATGTGCGCCGTGTGTTGTTATTTTGTGTTTCTCTCATTTTTCCTTCGTGTTTCTTTTCAGTACGAAAAAAAAAAAATTTCTTTTTGTTTTTACATCGGCAATTCTGAAGTAGTAAATGAGGTTCAAGCGCAATAAAAACGCAAACTATAAATAGAAAATTCTCCACTTTTATTTTGACATTAGTGTGTGTATGTGTAGTGTGTTTTATTCTGCAATTGATTCTATTTTACTTGGTGTTTTTATGCTGTTTGCAAGCACAGATTCACAATGTTTGTTCTAAGTTTATTTGTCTTGGCGTCTGTGTCTCTTCGTGTTATATTGTTGTTACAACTTTCTCTCTATCTCTCTTTCTCTTAAGTTGTCATACATTGTGTATGCGCCAGGTTGGTTTCTTCTTCGGTTTTTATCAGCGCGAGTAAAACGAAACGGAACACTTACGACTACAAGTGCTGAGAGATAAAAGCAAAAAGTGAGAGAGAGACCGGGAGAGAGAGAGTGATAGAGAAGGTGTAGATGCATGTCGCTGCTGAATGCCGATGAATCAAATCACAATTAACACGGTCATTGAACAAAATCAGGAAGAGTTTTTCTTCATTCCTTATCGATTGCGAGACTTTAAAAGAAAATTTACCATTTATTTGTATCTACGATCAACAGTTAATCGTACTATCGTATTCTTCTCTCGGGTCCAATCACATGCACACCATATGGTGTCACGTTCACTAGGTGTCAAATCGAGTTACAATGGTGAAATGCATGCTAAAAGTCGATAAACGTTATTAGAAAGTGACCGAATTTCGATATGTGCTCATCGTATGCGTTTGAATATTCATTGCCAAACTGACATAGAAAGAGACGGAAAGAAATGGCAACACACACATGTTTACACAAAATCGATTAAAAAAGAAAAACGAAACAGGTAAATACAACAAACATATTGAACGACTTAGTACAAACATATGGCACTAATCTGGCGAAAGTGAATGACAAGTTGAACAAGTTCCATCGAATCAACATCACTTCAATCGACTGGAAAAATGAGGAAAACAATTTTGTATTTTTGTTTACCTTTGAAATCATTTTTTTTTTTTTTTTTTTTTTGAATTTTTGCTTCGAAAAAATATATCCTCAACAAGATAAATACGCAGTAAACGGCATAGTTACGTTTAAATGACATAATGCCTAAAATGTTCATTCTCTTAAAATAACAATCAAGAGTTGCTTTGCATGAATGCAAATTGCAAATTGTCATTCTGAAGTGCAATTTCAACCTATTGGCCATCAGTATAATTTGAGTAATTGAGTACATATTTGGCTAGGGTATTGTCTTAAATGAAGCCATTGTATGTGGTCAAGCAATTTGACAAGAATTAAATGCCTTGAGAATTGCTTTTCGAAATGTGTGCAATGATATTATTCAATTTAAATGGATACAATGTGTATAGTGAAAAGAGTACAACGTAACACATCCAAACACCCACACACCACATAAGCACATACATGTCAAACACCAGCTAATATTTATTTTATCCACATAATTGTTCTTCGAATTTATAAAGTGATCTTGAAGACTTTTGAGATAGAAGAGGCAAAGCGTATCACATTTTGCATATCATCTTACAAATTCATGAAAATCATGTCATTCACTTCTTCTCTTACTCTGTCGCCTCTCCCTCTCCCATCTATCTCACCTTCCTCACTATTCATGTTCAAACTTGTAAATACTCTTCACGACAATGTCTCTTTCGTTTATTTTCTGGAGTAAAATGTAGAAGATGCATACAATACAATACATTATTGCATTTGCTCTCAATTCATTTCGATTTGAATTCATATTGTGGCTTAAGCATATGCTAACATCGTTTGAAGTTCAATTAATTCGAACATTGAAAGATAGATCGATTTTTTTTTCTATATCATTTTGTCTAGTCATTTGTTAGATGCTAAACGATTCAATTTCCAGTCCAAATAACTCGGAAATGTTAAATGGTTACGAAACATTAAAATGTTTTTGTTTACGATTTCACAATTTGTCGATTTATACATTTTACCTGCTCAGAAGAACACAAAGTCTATTTATATGTACCTTAAACGATTTTTGTTTGAAAACTAAACACAAAATACCAAACGACATTGTATGCTGATAAAGACGATTTTCTCTCTCTCTTTCAATCTTGATTGATAAGTCGAAACATTCAAATGTTGACAATTGAATTATTTTGTCTGTTTGAAGTCTCATCTTCTCTCAATGTTACCTACATTTTTGGAACAAACATTTGTTGTTTTTTTTGCTACATCACAAATGATAACTTTTAAGGTGTTTTGTTTCATTCGCTTCTTCGAAAAATATTATTAAAGTTGACGCTGAAGGGATCGGTTGCTTCGATCGATGATTATAATAAGTCAAAACCAGATTCAATCATGATCTTCAAACGAACTCAAACTGATATCAATGGAAAGGACTCGGTTATGGCTGGTCTTCTTTGCTTTCAATACTCTCTATCTATGTGTGTGTATGTGTATGTGGCTGTGTGTTTTTGACTTCTGCTAAACAAAACGTATACATACTGTGCGACCGCACGGCCGAACGGACAACCACACACATGTACATATGCACATGGGCTAGAGAGATAGAAAGAAGAGAATGAGAAAGAGAGAAAGACAAAAAAAAGCCACCATACAGCAAACCATATACAGGCAGACAGGTCGAATATGTAGCAAATGAACCAAAACAAAACACTAACACCACATCAAGCGTATGAAGCGGAAAAAAAATCTTTAGGCCACGCAACATTTTTCGAATGAAAACGAAACGATCGTTGCCAATTGAACTGGCGTCAAAATGTCGAAACATATATGGATTAAATGAGATTTGGATTGATTTGATGGGGGTTTTTAGTTGTTATTTTTCACATATCACTTCTGGGTAATAAAGTGGTGTTAAAAATAAAAATAATTCACAATATTCAAAAATATACCTTTCCAAAGGAAATATGCATGAAGAATTTCTGGAGTGTAAAAAAACAGAACAAATCAATTAAGTCAAACTTTGCCCTTTGTCTTTGGTATCAAGTTGAAAGAACAACGTTGAAACAGTAAATGCGAACAATTAAATTATTAGCATTCAGCTTAAACCCTTCTATTGTTTTTTTTTTTTCATCGACAAGTGACTTTTGGGTGCTATTTTCAAAAAAAAAAAAAAAATATTTCCTCTTTTTTTTTCGCATGCATTCTCTTCAACTAAAAACAAAAGCCAAATCACCTGTATTATTCTGTGGAAAAATGCATTCCCATTGTGTTCGTTTATTTAAAAAGTAACCGGCACGCATACCGTATGGCATTAAAGATTCGTTCGGCTGCAATAACAATAATATGAAGGTGAACTTTTCTCGTAGTACATACAACCACAGGAATAAGTGCTATCCGGTTCATACCGATACACATCGACATACTCATGCACATCGTATGCGGCATACACATAGAGAGAAAGAGAGCGTAGCTGCTATTCAGCGTAGCTAAATATACACTGAACACATTGACAACAATGTGCGGTATACACTCATATGCTGATTTTTTTAGGTATATTACACACCGTTATTTTTCTAGTGTGTTTTAAAAGCAGCAACAGCAGCAGCGGCAGCGGCGGCGGCGGCGGTGGCGGCAGCAGTAACAGCAGCAGCAACAACAACAGCAGCAGCATACATATGTATATAGACAGATTTTGTCGTTGATAATCGTACTTGGGTAGTATGAAGTCAGTATTGTTTCTGAGCAGTCGAAGTCAATTGACGGAGCGAATGCAAGCATAATTTGCTGTTTGTTATATTTTTTTTTTCGTATTATAAAAAGGAAAAAAAACTAAAGAGAACATTTTGTGTGTGTGTTAAGAAAAAGAGAAAAAAAACGTCGTTATTTTGTTTTTAAACCGAAAAAAATTTTGTTTCAGTTTCATTTTTATTGTGTATGTTTTTAAATTTGCTTTTGATATGATTTTATTTTGTAGCAAAATGAAAGAAAACAACAGAGAAAAAACTTTGTTGAATGTTGTGTTGTCATGTTTGTGATTTCGTTAGTAAATTATTGAAATTAAATTTAAAAGTAAAGAAAGAAAGAGAGAGAGAGAGTGAAAATAAAACTGCCATCGCAAAATTCATCCGCGCATATACCATTTTTTCTCCTTCTTCATCTCAATTAAAATCGAAAATACATCCGAAAATGTGTGTTAAATACCGATTAAATAAAAGAAATTCGATAACGGGTCGGTGTTTGTTTTCGTAAATGATCACACATAATCGAAGTGGCAAAAAACGATGAAGAGGAACGACGACGATGACGAACCGCTTCACAGCCCCCCCAACAAAAAAAATCAATGCAACCAATCTACTAATTGATTGTATGCGAAAGTAGTAATTTATTTTTGGCGTGAAATACGGAATTAAAAAGAAATGTGCGATTTCTCCTGTATTTTCTCTCTTCCCGACATACGATATAGAGAAACAATAAAAAAAAACAAAGTATATTTACAAACGGCAATTCATAAATTCACAGTTCAAATTACATCACACATTAAAAAAAATGTTGTTGTTGTTGTTGTTTTGGGGCCATACACACACTCGGAATTTCATCTCTCATCGTCTGTTGTGGCTGGTCTTCCGCGCGCACGCTCTCATTCTCTCTATTTCTCTCTTTCAACCGCCCGTTATCGTCAAATGTGATTTCCTGTGCGGAAATCCAAAGCTAGAAAAATAATACGAAACTAAACCGCATGCATATCATATACAACATTACAACACCGAGCCTTGTCACCCTTTCGTTTACTGAAATTGATTAGACAAGAACGAGCAAATTTCTTCTGTGTGTTTTTTTTTTGCAATATGATACATGTATGTAATGTGTGAGCGGTGCTTGTGCTTCACTCTTCAATTCGATTTTATGCCGTCTTGTTTTTTTTGTACATGCAATTGCATGCAATTTTGAGCGCGCCATTCATCGCAAGTGTGTGATTGTGTGCAAGTGTGAGTGTTTGTGTGAACTTTTAAAACGCAATACATTGAAACGTGAATTTTCGATAGAGAAATGCGTGTGCGTACGTGAAAAGTATCAGATATGTATCCAGATGGGAAAGGATGTATTTCGGTCTGATGCACTTTCCGCGCGCGAATGTGTCATCGTTGTGTGTATGTGTGGCATTGTGTGTGTTTTTTTATTAAATACATAAAAAGGTGCTCAAGTGTATGTGGATCGGTTGGTGTTAGTGTTGTCATGTTGCAAAATGGTCTGTCGCAAGTTTGTGTTGCATCTTTTTTCTTTGCGTTGCCGATATCACTTGTCGTCGAATTTTCAATGCGACAATTTGTTTGTTTATGTTTTCATATTTGCCGTGTGCGATGCGTCGTTATTTTGGCATTGGCTGCCAGGGAAACCACATCCCCGGCATCTGTGTGTATACATACCGTATATCCGTACACATTGTGCATCCTTTTGCAAAAAGGCGAAATTTTCCGTTTATAGCGTTCAACGTGTCTGTGTGGCTGAATCAAAACAAAAACATTGAACCGTATATATGCGCATGCCATGCAATATCATCTTTTCAGCTCAGCATTTTCTCCGTTTTATTCGGGTTTTTTTTTCGTTCTTCACTTGAATGGGTGTGCGCATTCACGAACGCAAAATTTTATACGTGCCTCATAAACTAAGGATCATTTCTCCGCTGTTGCGTGTTTGCTTGTATAGTGTGCTACAAAAGTGTGTGTGTTTTTTTCTCTCTCTTCTAAATCGGATCGGCTGGTTTTGATCGATCCTCATTCAACTCTCGATCATTCGACAAATCCATTGCGGACGATAAGAACGAAAATGAGAAAGATAGAGAAAATGAATCAGCATATAAATCATTTTAATGATGCATTCAAGTATAATCACACAAGATGCATTAAAAGCCGAAAAGAAAGTAAAAATCTTCTCTTTCTTTTTTTCATTATTATTTCTTCTCGATTTTCTACACTTGTTTTTCTGATCGGTTAGTTAGAATGCTTCTGAAGCAACCGCAATCGTGTCTGTGGTGTTGCTCGTTTACTTATAGCCATCAAGCAGTGAGCGCCATTTAAAAGAGTGCTCATATTCCATTAAGTCGACAATCTAAGATCGAGAGATATGTATGAGTGGTTATAAATTTGATATCATGAATATTTTTTAAATGTAATTGAATGAAAGTCCATTTCTTCCGTATATGGTATCAACTTTGATATCAACGGTTACGATTGAAAATCACTTTATTTGATTGCCATTGAGATCGTATTCCATTTAGTCGGTATCATTTTCAATCCCATTTCAATTGAAATCAAATTGATGGGAACGATTTAATTATCAGCTTTTCTCACACATCACATAACACTTTCAATTCATAATGACAAATTAGATCGTAAAAATGGAATCGAAATTTCTATAGGCTTCGGTTCGATTGATATGGGTATTCGAATTGTGTTGTGACTTCTTGGAAAGATATTTCATTTTTGAGAAAGTCAATAATGCGTAAATTTACCTCTGACCGATTTTGGAACCCGTCTCTTCCTATTTTTTTTCTCTCTCGATCGGTCTTTCTTCAATCTCTCACTCAGGCTTGTGTGTTTTTCGCTTACATATCTTATATGATATATTCTTTTAAAAAATATACTAACATAAATAGGCGTATGTGTCCGCTGACATACAAATAAAGATGAAAAAAGTATCGAAATCAGGGGAAAACTACTAGTACATCGTAATTCTTATCATTTAATCTAGTACAGAAATAATTCCTTCAAGTGTATGGCATGCTATGTAAAATGTTGGCGAACAAAAACCTTACAAATTTGTCGGAATAAACCTTATAATTCTATGAACAAAATTACATAAATATGAGATAGTCAATACGAAATTTGTAATTCAGATTCTACCCGATAGGTGGCGTTACGGTTTGGCACGTCGCCATGTCTCTTATATACGTGTCATTCACTTGAATTCCTTAGAATTCACAACAATTTCAAAAAACTATCACAAATAATTCAAAGTGCTTAAAATAATTTCAACCATATGAAATCAATAATAAATATAAAAATGTATGAAATGATTTGCTACTTTTAAGCAGAATTATTTTCTTTTATACTCGATTAAATTACGATATATTTATTAGTTTTCCCCTTGATCGAAATCAATTTTCGGCTGATTGAAGTTTTACTCTTTCATGGTGCGAGTCGTCCGTATCGGCATCGGCCTTAAATCTTTTGAAATGAAATGTTTTTTTTCCTCTCATACTCTCTGGAGTAATTTTACCATGTAATTGATGACTTAGTGCTTTCCACTCCCATTTGTTTTTCCATCTGTTCTCTTCCAGTTTCGACACAGGTCGTTTTTGTACATCTTTATTACATTTTTTTTTCGTTTCGTTCATTCTTGGTTTAAGTGACAATTTTTTTTTTGCTTTCCCATGGCATTGACAATTTTAAAAGCGATTATCGTTGTTCTTCTGAGTAGACCGTATGGTGCTTGATTTTGTGCCTCAGAAACTGTTTTACAAGCGACACACAACACGGCAGAAACAACATCACCAACAATAAAGAAGTTTCTTTTATTTTTGTGTGTGTGACACGAAAAAAAAAATCGAAGCACACTCAGAGCATTTATTTGCATGCAATGATCGTATATCATTGAGCAATGCTTTCTTTATGGAATCGCCTCAATATGTATGTCTTTCTTTCTCTCTTTCTCTTTCTGTTGGTTGCTCGTCGAGTTTAGCCAATGTTTGACCCAAATTTATTGTGTTGTAAAGTCGATCGACGACATAAAAATCAACAGCAACGACAGTAGAAAAAAGAAGCAATAGCAGTAGCTGCAAAAGAAATAAGAAGAAGAAGACGAAAAACAAACCGAAGACATGCAGAATGATAAAAATGAAAAGAGAAAAAAAGTGGACAACAATAAATACAAATGCGAAAAAAGGGCGAGCAAAATCTTACAATATACGCATTGAACATACAACACGCATACACACAATTTAAGCACAGAGAATGTGTGAAAACGTGCTCTGATCACATGACACATTACGCACACACGCACATATATATATTGAAAATGGTACAGTGCTCGTGTGGCCCAAGATCTGCACAGATGAAAACGATCGAATTTGACAAGCACATTGAAGATGACACAAAGAGAAAGAACATTCGATTGTTTGTTTTCTCTTCTGGTGCTTCTTTTGCGGCTCGGTCAACTTCGGTGGAAACAGAAGAGAAGCCGTATGTTCTTGTACGCATGTGAAATAACCAGCAACAACCAAAAACTCATAGACCCAAATAAATCAAAATAATAATAAGTTCGAAAAATCAGCTCAATTTGTTTGCTTCTCTTTTTTTAAACAAAATTAATTTTTTTTGCTTGCATCTAGTTTCAGAAGGATCGATTATTTATTGTCGTTTTATTCATTTCTTCTCTATCTCGTTTGAAATATGCAAACAAATAAAATGTTTTCTCTTTTTTCGTAACATGTTTTATTTTCGCTCTCTTTCGTTCGCCGGATTTGAAGATTATTATTTGCATTGTATATTTCGTTATGTCACTATCAATATTTGTCATCGAGTGTGATTTGCATTGAGCCGGTTTTTTTTAGTTTTTTTTTTCACTTTTCGTTTAATTTTAAATTCCATTCACACTTTTCACTTCTTTTTGCCTACATATTTGATATATTTCCATCTATAATTATTTCCATTACAATTTTTAATTACAGAACTGTTTGCGGACGAACGACACAAAACAAATGCGGCACAAAAACGATTGCGCCAAAGATTGATTGAATTAATTTTGAGCGTAAGGAGTAAAAAAAGGAACAAAAAAAGAATTCAAACCGAACTAAGAAAGTGACACAAACACTAGAAGAAAAAAAAACTAGTTTACATTTTCTGTGCAATTTCTTTTTTTCTGTTCTTAAAAATCTTCCATTCTATACGTTAATATGCAAAACGTGAAAGTTTGTTTTTTTGTGGTGTTTTAATTGGTAAAGTTTACTTGAATAAAAGTCAAGTGCTTCTCTTATCCAATGGACTTTAATCGAAACGAATCTCTGTATTTCATCGAATTATATAAATAAATATATATATTGAAAACTTGTGCAAATCAAATTCACCATCAAAACAGCAGGGAATCAAAATACACCAGCGAAGACGACGACGACCACGATAACGGCAACGGTACAACACATTACATAGTCTTATGTACCCTAATGTACGTACACTCATCACATTTGCATGTGCCATTCATAGCACCCACACTCAACTTCTCGTCAGCTGGATAATTGACTCGGGGAGATAAGCAGTAAGTAAATGTTCACAACATGATTTTCTTCTTCATTCAACTTTTTTTTTCTCTCCGTCATTCGCCTTCTCAAACGAGAATGAAAAAAAAGAGAATATTGTATATTTGAAAAGAACCGCTTGTGAGTTGATATGCGCGCGCGTGTACTCATGATTCATTTTATTAAAATCAATCTATTATTAATTGGCGCAAATATCGAATTTGCGCATCAATGAACTGTATTCACATACGCAAATCATGGTATTGGTATACCATACACAGTGGTACGAATGATTTGATTGAATTTTGAACATGATTCGATGGAGAATACGAAAAAATGTGCCATTTGATCAAAAACGTACTAAAGTGGACTTCTGATCAGATCTTCCGATTTCCTTTGACTTTTTATATGTTTTCAACGTAAACAGTGTCAAATTCATGGAAAATCTATTGCTTAAATTCAAAGATAAATTGTATTGGATGAGATCCAGTTACTGTGACTGAAAACGGTGATTACGTGCGTGGTGGTTATGTGAAGCTAAACATTGGCTAATCGATAGGAATTCATCAAAGCGACGATAAGCCACTGTAACGATGCACGTCAATCACACCGTTAAACATCATGAAACATGCTCCATTTACTTTGAATTGTACTTTTTGTTATTCTTCTTCTCTCTCTCTCTCACACACACACACACACTCTCGGTCGCTGCGAAAGTATTGTACAAATCATTTTTAGCGCATCCTCTTTGTTAATTCAATGCCATCGACAGAATCTTTTATCATTTCAAAAATCCGTTCAAATTGGTTTCATACTTTGGCCGATTCCAATAGAGCAATCGAATTGATTGAAAAGAAAGGCGCACATTGTCGGTCCGGCAAATGTGTGAAAGGCATTTTTTCTTTCCTTGAAGCACTTTCATTCGTTCAGTTCATCGATGTAATCAAGAGTCAATTAGGGTATGAATCGATATTACTTGTTATATCGTAATTTATTTGATGATTTCCAAAACCTTGTGCGCATACCATAGCATTGAGTCGGTTGATTAAAAGCATTTGCTTGTTATCAGACAGCGGCAACGGCTCACAAACTGAATATCATCTTCAAGTCACGTTACATCTAGCATTATATATGACGGATAAGTACGGAGAAGGCGTAATGCGTGAGCGATACGAGCAAGCGGTAAACAGTGAACAGATACTAATATTGAATGACCTATGAGACGGATATGTTATTCACACGGGATCTGAATATGGATCAAACGAATTACTGACTTCTCGATTTAATTTGAGAGGGTGTGTGCATGCACAGAGTAAATGTGGTTAAGAAAGGTATTCAATTTATGATATTATATGTACTGTCTTTATTGCGGACAATGAAGCAAAACCGATTTGACAGCAACCACATCAAAATTGTACATCCGGCAAACGGCGTAAAATGGCTCATGTAAATTTATCTCTATTCACAAACCGGGCTGAATAGTTAAGTACAATATAATAAGAACGAAGATGTTTTATTCCGAAAATTTCGTGTCTTTGAAATGAATCCATATACCCTTTGCCCCGTGGTGTTTTTCACTTCCTAGGTGTCTTGTAATAAGTAAACATTTCATACTTTCACCGCAATATACTAAGTTATACAGTATCGTATGCATCACCAATAAACATCATGTACACACCGCTGTTGGTTCGGTTATTTAATAAAACAAGCAGCGCAAAGTAATATTTTCATTAACCCTTCGACAACAAAAATGGCTACATTTTAATGAAAGAAGAGTAACGGCCTCGAAAAAAAAAATGCTTACTTTTTCGTAATTCATTAAAAAATAAAGCATTTTTCCATTATTAATGAGAGACATGAAGTGCACTTGAATGTACGAACAAAAAAGAAACCATGTTTCGCTCATTCACTCAATCGCCTTGTATGAACAAATGTTTTTATTACAACGGATTTTAATTTATTCATTTTGGCTTGTCAATTTCATGAAAAAAAGCGTACAAACGTGAGGTTTTTCTTCTCTTGCATCATTGTTGTAAGAGCCAGAACCGTGCCTTGACTGTGGTAATGCCAAAAAGGAAATGTCTTATTCAAGTGATGATTTATTTTGCGCCTTAAATTATAATTAAACCGATCTTCAATCAAAACAATAATGTTTACAAACATTCATTCATTGTCTAGTGCCTCGGTGTATTCAAACCACAACGAACATTCTCTACAAATGCATACTCTTCGCCCATCTTTCACAACATTCGAATGAACAAAATAAGAAGATGAAAAAGAAACTTTGGATTAATGACATTTTGAGTGGTTTTGCTCCCGCTCTTCTTTCCCAATATTCAATTTGTTTCATTGCATCTTACTACGAAAATTGTTTTTAATGTTGTTTTAAATTCAAAGATGATAAGGTGACATCACTGATATGATGAGACATAGAAAGTAAATTTACGAAGTAGACGACAGACATATTGTCGCTTACTTCGGTGTTTGTCTACTTCCATTCTAACTCAATGTGATGTTATTGGTCTCCGACTGTCTTCTTTTTGCTACTTTTATCATCTGTTTTTTTCAAGAGAATGATATACAACTCGGGGGAACGAAAAAAGAAATAAACTTATTGAATAAAAGAACAAGTGCTTGTATCAAAATGCGTATAGAGAAATGATCATCACTGCCGCACACAATAAAATTTGTAGAGTGTCCGTTTTTTATTTAACTTGATTTTCAAAGTTCATCATTGCCAGTGCTCATCTTGTTGAATTCAATGAATAAATAAAGATATTTTATAAATTTTTTCCAAAAAATCTGTAGTGAAAAGCAAGGAGGAGTTTCCACGATTATGATACAACAACGGCACGTTTTTTTGTTTGCGATTTGTTTTTCTTTTGCTATTCACGTTGCGTTGCCGCAGTCCTGAGAAGTAAAAAGATTGATTAAATATGAGATAAATATAAATTATATAACAGTTTCATTTGCATACCTCTTTCTGGGATTTGAGACAATACAAGAAAAAAAAACGAAGTACATAAAAAACTGAGACTTTTTGTTCTGGCACTTTTCGATTTGGCGGTCATGTCGGTCGTGGCCGGCCTCCAAAAGTCATTTTTAGCGCCCCCACTTGACATAAGGATATATGCGAATTGAATGAGGCCACTTGCAAATCGTAAATATTAGATTGGAGTGGCTAAAACGGTCAGAAATAAAAACACAACCAAACTAAACAACCATATGGTCAAACACAATTCAATCAATTTCGATCAGAAACAGTGTGAATGACTTAAAAAAACATCATCGACATCGGCTCCAAATCTAATTAGCTTAAGCTTAAAAAAGTGCATACCATGTGGTGCCATTGAAAATAGTGGTGAAAAAAATTCATTCTCTAATTATGAGCCAATATTTATAAGATTCGGAGCCAAAAAATGGCCTAAAACTTTCCATCACAACACACGGAACAATTATTTACCAACTATTTCCATCGTAAAATGCTTATCAGAAATGTGGTTTCGTTACTCTTCACCTCGACCGATGTTTTTTATTTTGATAAAATACACACACAGCATCATCGGGTAGCACATAACAACAGTAGAACCTAGTAGATTTAGAATTTATGTTATTCACCATATCGTGGTGTGCTACGTATTTGTTTGGAATTCAAGTCCTCGCTTACTACAATTATTTGAAGAAGACGAAAAAAAAAATCATTCGTTGCGGCTGAAAAAGGAGTAAATATTGTGTAAGCGTGAAAACGAAAACAAAAATTACACACGCACAAAAACGCGCCGAACATTTCGGAAAACATAAAAGTAAATAGCCGCCACGAAAAAGAAACAGACAGATCGAGACTGAATAGCAATCATGGCAGAGAGTAGTACGAAAAAAAAAATGATATTTATTATTCTGTATGTATATATTGATGTAATCAGCGGCATAATCTATCGATAAGCAAGCATTGAATATCAGAGTCGGTCATGATGTCGTGCGGTGCTAGTTCTTATTCGCAAAAACGGGAGCAAAATGAAGCGAGAGAAAAAAGCCATACCATATGAATACGATCTATGTCTAGCATTTACTATTATCAAATGCGCAATTATTTCGCTAAGGGAACGAATGATCGTTGTACCACACGAATGCCATTGAAACGAAACGGAAATTTCCATCCATACCGGGTGTTTCAAGTGCTTCAGCTTTGTCAGAAAATCAATCGACTCCCCAGTGATACTTTACTAGTAGTAAGCCAAATATACATGAAACACCCTGTATACTGGTTGAGGAATTGAGAGATTGGAGACTGAACTACACCGGATATGTTAAATCTTTTGTTGAATACCGTGTGTGTAATGGCATTGCGCTCATTTTCATCAAATCATTGACGAAAAATTTCATCTTCATCACACATATACAGAAAAAAAAACACTAAAATAAAATAAAACTTGAATATAATATCATCATCCGGAATTTATATTAATAACGTTTTTTTTTCTCTGTCGAATCCCATCATCGTCCGAAAGATTCGCGTCTATATGCACTTGTACATAAATGTTTCAGAAGATATGTGTGTATTTTGCATTCATCACACTGGCCCAAATACGGCGTGTGTTTTTTTAATTAAAAATTGCTGAAGATCAAACCATCGTAAACATATACGAAGCGAATTTAATTACAATTTTTGCTTAATGTGCATTATGAACGAATGGAATGGCTGGCCGGCCATGACGATTCATTTATTCGCTGGTGTTGTTTTTTTCCGTTTGCAACACCATTTTTTTTGGTCATCATAAACAATTTGATGACATCCGAAACAATTTACCCAGACGAATCCAAAGAATGTTGATTCCGAATTAAGAAAAAAATTCGGAAAAACAATGATGATACTATTCATAGATGGCAGACAGCAAAACAAAAATTGAATTAAACTACATAAAACCATTTGAAATTAATATCAAAACAAACGATCTTAGCCAACACTTTTTGTTGCTCGAACAAAAATCAAGTATTGGTACGAGAAAAAAAACTCTACAGA